CACGCTCAGTGCAGAGCCCAATGCAGGGCTTGGTCTCATGAACCCTAGGTTTAAAATCTGTGCTGAAACTGAGTCAGATATTCAACCAACTGAGCCACCCAGGAGCCCCCAAATGGCAATTTTTTATACTCTACACATCATCCTTCCCAGGAAGCTCAAAGATCCAGACATTTCTGCACGAATCCTTATATCATCCCACCCGCGAGTCCCAGTAAACCTCCTGCAGTTTCACAGATGAAATCACCAAATTCATCTTGCTTCTTGGAATCTCAAAGACCAAATCAAGCTAACCCAGGTCTTGAGTTTGGCCTCCCTCCCCGATGTGTCCTCCAGATAGCATTTCCCAAAACATGTTCCACAGGACATACTGCTATGATCTATTTACGTAGCATTCTCCAATGCGTGGCTCACATGCCACTGGTAATCTGGGTGAATACATATATATTTTTAAAGTTTATTTATTTATTTTGAGAGAGAGAGCAAGAACAGTGGTGGGGGAGGGGGAAGAGACAGAGAGAGAGAGAGAGAAAGAGAGAGAGGGAGAATCCCAAGCAGGCTCCATGCTGTCAGCACAGAGCCCAATGTAGGCTGGATCTCACGAACCATGAGATCATGACTTGAGCCAAAGTCAAGAGTCAGATGCTTAATTGACTGAGCCACCCAGGCACCCCTGGATAAGTATTTTAAATTTTAAGTCATACATTCATTTTAACATAACGCTAAGAAACAAATGTATCTATCATATCAAACCAATGATTCCACAACAATTATTGCTTTAATTTACAAATAAAGTTACTTTTAAAATGGCATGGTACATGGACACAACAGAGTGACACGGTGGGAAGACTCAGGTTTGGGATTGGTACAGTGCAGGGTTAGGGAGCTGCTGCCCAGACTGCCTTGTCCTCATGGTGAGGACTAAGCTGGAACCCCAAGGCCACTCCTGTTGTCAGCAGCCCCACTTAGTACAAGATGCAAAAAAATGGGCTGACACCAAGGGCCTAAGATGAGGGAGTTAATATGTCCACTCAGGATCCTATCAGTTTTGTCCCCCACAGTGAGCGCCGAGTCCTTACCTCTGCCTCAGGGCTGTGGCCTGGGGAGAGCAGACCAGCCTGCTCCTCAGGGGATCGGGGAGGGCTGGGGACTTGGGCGGGACCTGGACAGAACAGACACAGGATTTATAAGAGGAAACAACACCCTGCCCTTCCTGAGGGCTCCTCTCCCAGCCAGCTCTGCAGGGGGGTCACTGTTGGTCAACAGAAAGAAAGTCCTTTCCCAGAGTGTCCCTAGATGCCACCTCTGCTCATTTCAGAAGTATGGGCTTTTTTTCACTTGTGCGATCTGTGTCCAAAGCTTGGAGATGTACCTTCTACCCTTTCATAGCTCCAGAGCACACACAGAAAGGGGCTGTTGGCCAAAGCCATGCGCAGGATCTGTGCAGAGGGAAGGGGGAAAGACAACAACAGGCAGAGCTGTCTGCCATTTGGAGGTTGGTATGCAGTGCACCAGCTCTGCTCCGGCTCTGCTCTGATGACCTGTGTCTTCGGTGCTGCCCCTGTCCTTGCAGGCTCTCCACAGGAATTCTGGAAGCAGTTTCTGCTGAGACAACAGGCTTACCTCTCTCCTGGTGCCCTGGTGTGGTGGCAGGTTGCTCCTCCTCATTTTCCGATACCCTCAGCTCCAGCTCCGCCTCCACTGCTGCCTGGTGCTGCATGCGAAGCTCTGTTTCGGCATCTGATGGGATATCATCAGACCAGTGCTGATCTGGCAAAGGGAAGGGACAGAGCAGCACTTGAGTGAGGCCCTGCTTCTTTACCAGTCTCCAGCTGGCCCCAGAAAGTAGCCGAATCAGTTCATCAACTACAGCACCACTGCTTGATGTCTGGACCTGGTTCTGTGTCCCAGCTAGGCCCTGCCTACTGGTCCCTACTGAGCTTCTGAGACTCAGAGCCTTTATTCTCTGCAACATAGCGCTCTCATCAAAGCCTACAGTGCTCCATTTCCTTTTCAAATACACAAGACGGTACCTGATAGATCACAACAGAAGGAAACATAGTGGGTGTGCCTGTGAAGGGCAGGCCTTACTTCACGGACTCACCACTGGTCTGTTTCCCCCAACACCACGGCGAGGTCTATGCTCCCTTACAGTCTTGCCTGGACTCGTCATTTCTCCCAGGCTAGTCCCTGCCACCCTTTCCCCAACCAACCAGCCTATAATTCTTAAAATACCATCTCTTTTGTAGCTACCTTTCAGAGGCGCACTGAATAAAGGCCCTTTTATAAAGCACCCAATCTGCTCAGTTTCTCAACCACAACTTAATGAATGCAGGCTATGCTGCACGGTGGCTGACAGGGGGAATGACACACATTCAAGTTAGCAGCAGACCAAGGAACACAACCAGGAGACCTAATGGCCACCTCTTTACAGTGCCTTGCTTTTGCTTTAATGTATATTATCTTTCCCAAGTTCCAATCGCACAGTGGGGAAGAGAGTGATCAGCACAGTGGAGAGGGGAGGCTCTGGGGTCCCCCGTACCATCATCCAGCTCAGCACCAGTGTCCCCTGTGTCCCCATTCTCCGCTGCCTCCCCTTCTATCTCTGCCGGCTCCGAGTCCACATCTTCCTCCAGGTCATTCTCATCAAATGGGACTGTAAAGCAGAAACGTTCAAAGGAAGGAAGAAAAGGACAGGCAGACAGACAGAGACTGCCTGTGCAGGTGGAAGCTGGTGGTGGTCTTCCCAGGGCTGCAGTGTGAAGACCATGAGGAGAGGCGGGGAGATAGACTGTGAAGTGTCTGGATTTGGACCCCAAGGTGGAAGTTGGTCAGCCTTGGGGGAGCTACACACAGTGTGGGTGCTGGTGAGGGCCTGGGGCCCTTCCTGAACACCTGGGACCAGCACTGCTCGATGCCAGCAGGGCCCAGTGGAAAAGGAAGGGCAGCTTCCTCTGGTCACCTCCTCTTCCCCCGAGACTGCTGTTAAGTGCCTCGGTGTGAGAAGGGCAGAGGGGAAACGCTGCCTCTGCAGGCCCAGCAGCAATGATGACTCTTCTGCCAGCACGCCCTGGACCGCTTCACAGGCCACGCGCCATTTACTCCTCACAGTAATCACTCAGAGGGCCTGTGGCAAAGCCGAGGCCAGAGAGTTACGGGATTTACTCATGGTCATATAGCTCCATCTAGCAGCTGCAGTACTGTGTGTAGGCGAAGTCACTGATGGATGAGGGACCAACAGGATGGACCCCTGAGGGCACCCACCTCCCCTTTCAACGGGTAGAGGTGATATCTTTGCTTGGGATAATTTAGAGAAATGTTTTTTTTTAAGGCTTGAAGGAGAGGATGAGGGGATATGTAAAGTTCACTGTCTAGATGCAACACCAGCCCTTCAGTGCTGCAGGACAAGGCAAAGCACTCATCGACTTCTCTTTCCTCAGGAGGAAACAGCCCCTAAACGCGCGCGCGCGCACACACACACACACACACACACACACACACACACACTCAGACCTGTTCCCAACCTCTGCACACTTAGAACTCACACTAACAGTTTGGAGTAAGACAAAGCAATTAGGAAAGCAAGGTGTGCTACTTTATAGGATGCTGTGAGGCCCCAGTGTTACCCAAGACCGACAGGACCCATCTTTCAGGTGTCCTGAGGGTTTCTTCTAGGCTCCTAAGCACAGCCACTCTCACATCACTCCTAAAGGTTCCACTTCAGGAAAAGGGGTTACGCTTAGGTTCGTATATACAAGGGCCAGAGGATCAAAGCCCAAGGATGGGCAGGCAGCAGAGGCACTGGCTGTGGCACAGCTCAGATTTTTTAAAAGGCTGTACCACAGTGAAAGGCCATGTAATGGCTGGGCCCTCTCAAGTCAGTGCTCTCGTCACTGTCCAGTCTCATGAATCTGCATCGCTGGCACCTTAAGGATGTGCAGAGTGAGTGTGGCAGAAATGTCGAGCATGGATACCTAAGTCTGAATATGACGAAAATCCAGGAAAATCAAGTGACTACCTTTGGAGGCCGGGTGGGGAAGATAGGGAAGGGGCACTTTGAAGATGCTGGGGATGTGTGCTTTCGTGACCTAGTCACAGGAGTTTTTGTTAAAAAAAAAATAATTACTGGGGTGCCTGGGTGGCTCATTTGGTTAAGCGTCTGACTCCTGGTTTTGGCTCAGGTCATGAACTCAGTTTGTGGGATTGAGCCCTGTGTTGGGCTCTATGCTGGCAGTGTGGACCCTGCTTGGCATTCTCTCTCCCTCTCTTTCTGCCCTCCCCTGCTTGCATGCACACGTGGTCTCTCTCTCTCTCTTAAAGTAAATGAACATTAAAAGATAATTCCTTAAGCTGTATAATTAGCTTCCCACCCTTTTGTATACTCAGTTTATACAAATAAGGTGATGATTTGCATCTAATTTTGGAGAACCATACAGCATAGGTTTAGAATGGACTATGGGGAAAGATGAAAGAATTCCAGAATAAGTTCTAGGCTGGCAAATAGTTAATGTCACACTCCTTCTTTTGAGATACCAGAGCAGCCCATGGAGCTGGTAATGCCAAGATGCTTTCCTGTGATGGTGGCATTTGTTGGGGAAAATATTAGGGGTAAAACTACTCAATTATTTCCAAACATTTAAAACTTTTGCATGATAACTTTGCTGTTGTAGTTCATCAAATACCAGGAAGTGAGATTTCTTAGGAACAAACAAAAGTCTCTGTGCCTTCTCTAACCTGAGCTTCCTATCTGGATAACAAACTCATGGTTTCATGACACCATTTCTGAAGAGGCTGGACAGTTACCTCTCTTCCCCCAGAATCTTTCTCCTCTGGGAGTCACGTCAACCCGGTGGAAACAGAACCTGGGCTCATCCCGTCTGGGCCCACTGTGCTCAACACATATGCTCAAACAGATGTATGAGTGGCTAAGCATCAAGATGGCAATCTGTACTTCTGTTGGACAGTGCGCTGGACGTGGGCACAAAGGAGACCACACTGTTCAAGTCACACTGCCCCAGGTCAGCCTGACCCCAGCCCTGGTCCCTTGGTCCCCATGTGGTTCTCTGACTCGGAGTTGCTGCTAAGAAATGTCTGTTGTAGAGTCAGAAGGGTAACAAGTCTACAGTCCTTGGGAGTACCTTGAAAGGAACAATTGTCACATACATTAAAAAACAAACAAGTGAGAAATATCAATGCAGCAGCAGCAGAGGCTGGAGAAACGCAGCTTGAGGGATGGAATTGGGAGATTAAATCCAGGTTAAGATGGAGTGCAGAGTGCTAGAAGCTGCCACGCACTATGGAAGCTGGGAATCACAGACATACTTAGCTTTTGGTTTATTTCAGCTGCCAGCTGGGAAGTCTTGACACCTCAGCCTTGTCCAACCATCCTGGGAGACGTGCTAACATGAGGAGAGATGGCCAGCAGCTTCTGTTCACAGAGCTAAGGTCTGGCCTCAGGCTCAGCTCTCCCTATGGTTCTGTGAAGGTACCTCCTGACTTGTGTGCCTGTGTCCTTTTCTCCTGCTGCATGTCAGGTCAATGGAACGGGCTGGTAAGAGGCTGGTGGTAAAGATCCATGAGCTCCAATCCTATGCATCCCAGAAGCAACCACAAGGACCATAGTTTTCAACCAGGGGGTAATGCTTCCCTTCTTTAAGTGGTACTGATATTGTGTAGGGAAGTTTTGGTTGTTGCCTTGATGGCCAGGGTGGGAGTAGAGGCTGTATGGCTGATGACATTTTGAGGGCAGAGGCCAAGAAAGTTAAATGTCCTCAATAGAGGGGCGTCTGGGTGGCTCAGTCGATTAAACGTTCGACTTTGGTTCAGGTCATCTCACGGTTTGTAAGTTTGAGCCCCGTGTCGGGCACTGTGCTGATAGCTCAGACCCTGGAGCCTGCTTTGGATTCTGTTTTCCTCTCTCTCTTCCCCTCCTCTGCTTGCACTCTGTCTCTGTCTCTCTCTCAGAGATAAATAAACATTAAAAAAAAAAATTTTTTTTAATGTCCTACAATGCAAAGAACTGCCTGCCCCTTGTCAAGAACTGCCATCACCCATGCTGAGGAATACCTGTCCAGAAAAGTTTAGGAAGGACAACAAGGTTTCTCAGCTATCTCTTGGCCTAAGTACTTACAGAAACCCCGCACATCAGTACAAAGACCCAGCGGATGCTACATCGAGTTATACCCAGCCTGTCCCTCTACTGTTAGCAGAACAATCCTATGTTCTCCACTCTTCACTGAGGAGTCTTCCACAAGTCCCCTAGTACTGAATGTCTCCTTCTCTGTACTTTGGTGGGTTTGTGGGCTATTCACCGATTCTTCTACTTTCACACCCAATTGCTACACAATTTAATCTCTACAGACTTTAGAAATCACTGCTAAAGATGTTCCTTTAGCTTTGGCCTTTACTCAACCTTTATTAGTAAAAAACAAGTTTATGTCCTGTCTATGCTATTGCTCTCCTCCGGATCTTCCCTGAAAGGCGTGGGGTGCGTGTCTGGTCCATGCAAGAATGGGCCGCCTGAGTGAGGCATGCATGTGCCCCCCCGCCCCGACTGTGGCATGCACTAGCAGCAGAACCAGAATTCTAGTGTTAAGGTACCAGCAGAGCTGCCGAGAGAGAGTGGTTATGGTGAGTGGGGAGAGAACAAACATCACCAGACTACCTCCGGAGACTGTCTCCAGCCAGGCCTGCACTGCTGCGCGGCGAATGGAGGGAAGGTCAGGCACTGAATTTAAAACAGACGATAGATACAAAGTTACACAGGAATGCGGGTTCCCAGTGAGGAGAGTCGAGGTCATCCTAAAGCCCCAAACAGAAGGGAACCTGACAGATGTTCTAAGCCAGAGGCTTGTCCGGCAGCGATGAGGGGTCAGAGTCCCGCCGTAAGCCTGTATGACGGACGCTCGGGATGAGAAAAGAAGAGAGAAAACAGGGAGGGTCAACAGTGGCTCGAGGCTGCAGAGCTGCCCCATGCTGTAGGCCAGCCAGACGTCCCGGGTCAGTAGGGCCAGTCTCCTCACTCCCGTTGAATGGTTATACTGCTGCAAAAGTAGTTAACAGAAGGTGGTCTTGCCTAGAGGTGAAGATTTGGGGCCAGGGAGGATCAAATGTCCTCGTTAAGGGCTAAATTTCCTGAAGGCAGAGTCCTGCAGGGTGTGTGGCCCCAACAGGCCTGAATGGAAACGTGAAAACGAGTGAGAGACAGAGGTTCATGACAGCAAGGATCCATATTTGGACGATAGGTCTGCTGAGGTTAAAGGTGTGGAGAGTGACACGGCAGCCGCTGCATCCCTCAGCTGTCTCCATTTTTTCCTTTTATTGCTTGTAATCATCTTCACCCTCCTGTGGAGCACAGGCCAGCTCACCTAAAACCTAGAGCTGAATATTACGCTAGCTATTTTTAAAGGCCTCCTTGACATAAATCTCTTAAAACTTCATTTCAGTTCAAAATATACTGCCCCACCCAGTCCTGCCAATGTACATTCACACTCAGACACACCACAGGAGGAAAGCATCAGAACATTTTACCAAGTGGACAGAGTAACCCTGTCTAGCAAAATGGGGCAAGAAAGCAAATTCTTGGTTTTCCCAAGGTCAAGTTCATTTTACTATTTTGCGTCCATGGAGAAGATCCCATAACCTCTTAACCCATAGAGAACTTTACATATCCTCAAACAAAAGTTAAGGGCAGTGGTCATGATTAACAATACCAGGACAACAAAATGGTTTGTTGGCTTTTACATTTTGATTAAACTGATGGCTTTGGCCCTACCAGAAGGGTCCTCTGTAGCAATGAGAGGGGAAGCAGGGTCAGAGCTGCTCTGAGGGGCATATCGGGCCCTTGGATCTTGAAACAGTTACCTCTAGAAGTGGAGGACTCAGAGGTTGGTACCATTCGCTCCTCCTCCTCCTCTTTCTCTCGAATATGTGTCCAGTGCACATCAGCCTGGATCTCCAAGGGGTCGGCTGGATTTATGATCTGCTGTAGCCTCTGGCTCCCGACTAGTGTACCAGAGTCAGAGGTGGAGCAGATGAGGAAGGGAGAGATGGTGGAGGAAGGAAGCAGAAAATAAACAGTGAAGGGAAGGAGGGGATGAAACATCACAGGAAAGGAAACAGAAAGAAAAGTTACTGTATTTGCCAGGATCACTTTGAATCAGAAAGAGGCAAAAATTGAGAATATACACGCGTGCTCACACAGACATGATTTCTACTCGTTCAGCTTGATTTTGTTGTTTCAAGCTTCACTTACACTGTTAATTTCAACGAAGTGAACCATATATCCCAACTCTAAACAGAAAGAATTCTCCTTTCTGATGCTCTTTTCATCTCATCTGCATTTGAGGGACCCAAATGCCAAGTCAGAAAAAAGAGCAGGTCACAACTGGCCTCTGGAAGGCCATCCCCTCTGGGTCACGAGTACTCTGCTGTTAGCCAGCACAGCGTGAGATCCCGAAGGATGCAACACTCTTGCCCCTTCTGAGGATACACAGCATGGTGCTTACCGTCACCTGCCATGTTGACAGCTTCTCCTTTGAGATTTAAGCCAAGTGACAAGTGAGAGATGGGATGGGACAGTGTCATTCTGTCATGAGCCACCTAACTCACGCAGGACAGAAATGTACTTTGTTGGTACTTCAGTGTTTATCTTTTGCAGCTAGAGAGAGAGAAAAAAAATCCCCCTTCCATAATAGGTCTCATGCTGCATGCAGGTCTGCGGCAGGGACACAGCTATGGGGAGAAAATGGAGACAGGGGAGGCAGTGGCTAGGAGAGGAAGCAGAGCTCTATCTTGTAAATTCCCAAGACTTTGGGAGTTCGTGGGCAGGAATAAAACAATACCTCTCTGCTTTTTCTGAGGTCAAAGCCTTTTTCTTACAACTCCATTTGGTGCACCACTGCTCCCCTCTGGACACAAGACCTGCCTTTTCAGCTAAATGAGAAAACACCAGTAGCCCCTTCAGATTATTCCTGCTGTCAGAGCCCAAAGAATATACATGCAGCCTCTGCCCTGTAAGCTCCCTATAATCAGTGCTTGGACCATGCCATACAGTTGGGTTAAAATAAAGGGATAGCCAGCAACTTGGGGGAGGGGACATTTTGGGAGGGAAGATGGCTTTTCAGTAGCAAGAGCAGGTGCCACCTGATCTGAAGGAGTCTGGGATTCCTGATGGGAGCCCACTCTCAACTAACTGGACAGTTTGGCTTTGGCTTCATCACTATCACACAACCTCTTAATTTTTAAGCAATGGGGAATGTGATATGGACAGAAAGTACTAGTAAGATTACCAAATGTGGATGCGGGCACCATCCTGTGTTAAATGTGGGGTGGTAGCCCCGCATGCACTCTCTTGTCGGAACTACTGGTCTCTACGGATTCATTTTTCTAAGGTCAGTTGGCTTTTATGGTGTTGGATGGGGCTGAATCACGGCAAAGTCACCCAATAGCTTGAATGTCACATGACTAAGGAAGGGAAGTCAAAGAGAAAAATGCAGACCCTTTCTTCATCTTCTAAGCCACAAAGAGAAGACAGTGAGTCTTCTCCCTGGATAATGTTCTGCTTCCTGTTAATAAATGTAGCCTTGGGGACTTATCAGCCAGCATGTCCTCCTTTCTCAGAGAAATGTTACAAGACACAATGGAGGAAGGTTCTGGGTACCTGTGCTGATGAAAACACCTGTGCTGGCTCCCCCACTTTGGATAGCTGTGACTGTGACATGATTTTTCAGCATTACAAGAGGCCGAGTCTTCGCTAGATGAGGGGACTTGCAGCAAAGCATACAAGGGGCCTACATGGGGCCACCATCATTAAGACTGCTTCTGGAGTCTTCTTCTCAGACTTCCCCTTGACTCTGCTTGTCTTATGTGTTATTTGCTACATGACCATTCCCAAAGGCTGGGCCCAGGGACAGGTGCCCAGCTAGGCATGTGCCAAAGCCTGTCCGCGCAGCTTTATAAAGCACAGATCTTTTAATGTGGGACCTGCTCTTGAAGGCAAATTCTGGATGGCTGCTAGGGAGCCAGGGTAGAAGGTGGGCAAGGGGCAGAGTGGGTACCTTTACATGTACCCGTATCTTCTTCTTTTGACAGATGCTGGAGCCACTGGCTTTGCAGGAGTTCTCTGTCCCAGGGGCAATACTCCCCTTCTACAGCAGGGGGAGCCAGACACCCACAAACACAGCATCAAGAATCCCGCGTGGGGATAAAGAGAAAAGAGAATGGAAAGGAGGAAAGAGAATAGAGAAGAGTTATCTTCAGGTGCAAGGCAATAACATCCTGTCACTGTCTACACAGCCATGGAAGTCCACTGACCAAAAGATACACACACACCAAGGGCTAGGAACAAAGGCCCAGAGCTTGGCTGAATTTGTCGGTATGTGTTTCTGCAGTTAAATCCCATTCCCTGCAGGTTTGGTCTTGACACTAGTTCCAGATCCAGGAAATTAAGTCTGCATGAGGGAAAGCAGGGATAAAGTCTCCTGAAAAGGGCATAGGCTTTGACCCTAAGCTGTGTGTGGGGCTACAAGCCACTGAATGTGTGAATCACCAGATGGAGAAAATGACAAAAACAAAGTACCTTTCCCCTGAATAAGCTGTGAGCACAATCACCACCTCTGACTACTAGGGACCCAGAGGCAGCCCTGGGCCAACCACAGCTCTGCACACACAGCAGTTATGGAGAAAAGAACCCAAGGTGCCAGCTTTCCGGCCTGGCCTCCTGCTCGCACAGACCTTACTTCTCATCACGGGGAGGAGGAAGGGCCAGGGCACCAAGTGCTGCCTCTGTGGGCCCCACCCCAGCCTCTGTCTTTGGAGGGAAGAGCGCAGGAGAACTAGGTCTAGAGAAGCCCCTTAGTGGTCTGAGGAAGAGCCCTGCCTCTGAGCGTTCACACTGGCCCTGGGCACCTTGGGGGCAGGGAGAGGCTGTGCTTCCTTCTTGTCTGCCCTGCCTCGGCAGTGTCTTGGGCTACACAGCTCTCAGGACCAGCTCAGTAATGTAATTGGGAAGAGCTCTGCATCTGGTCAGCACGCGGTCCTTCCTGTGCCAGACTGCGGAATAGGACTGGGCAGCCAAGCACATCGAATTCCAGGAGGAGCAGCAGAGCAATCTAGTGCCAATTCTACGAGGCCCGGGGCTGTCCAGAATCTAATGTGCTCCTCTGACAACGGCTGGGAGGGATTGGTGCTTTAAAGGCCCATGTCCTTCTCTTCCATTCCATGTCCCCTGGAGAGAGAGCACGGCCGTGAATTAACATGGCACCATTGTCAGGGGGATTCAGGTCTCTACCTGCCCTAGTTTCTTCCTCCCCACCCTCCAGACCTCTGTGCAGACAGGGCAGGGAAGGAATGACCCTCTCTCTTACAGAGACAAAAAAGGATGCCCACCAAATTCTTCCTCATCACTCAAGGACACACACAGCCAGAGATGGGGGCAGAACTGAAACATTTCAAGTCCAAGGCAAGAGAACATTTCAGAGCCAACCAGAGTGACTTAATACTGGAACTGATGCTCCGTCTCAGGACACTGGTCCAAACATGTTACTACCTGTCATCGACTGAACCCTGTCTGGTAGGCACCTGGCCCCTCCTCAGTGACAGCAGCTCTGAGCAGAGTGAGATTCAGTGCTCTGCAGCCTCCAAAGCCCAGACTCTGAGTCAGGGAATCCTCTAGGAAGCTAAATTCCCTTTCTTTATTAAAATAAATTTCTTTAACAGAAACTAAAGGGAAAAAAAACAACAGAAAATGAGGAGAGGAGAATGAGTGACCTAATTTGGTTGGAGTACTTATGCTGTTGACCCTTTGCCTTCCACTTCCAATATCTACTCAGAATGTGCACAAGGGACATTACTTCCACTGCCAATGGCCTCCCCTGCCCCCCAAATCTAAGGCTAGAGAGAGGCAGGAGGGATCGCCCCTGGTGCCGTAGACGGCACATCGGTGTGACTCCAGCCACAGAAGCCTTACTCAGGCATGGAACAGAGTCAGAGTTAAGAGAAGAGATTTTTTTCTGACCTTCACTAGACTCTTCCTCTTCCTCCTCATATTCTTCCTCTTCCTCCTCCTCCTCCTCCTCATACTCTTCCTCTTCCTCCTCTTCATTCCCAGGCTCGTAGCTCTTTGAGGCCTCCAGCTCCTCTTCACTCTTTCCTTTCAGAAGGGCATGGATCCTCACAGCCTCCTTCCAAGGAACACCGCCCAGGTCGGAGGTGGGCAGAGGCTCCTCTTCCTCCTCCTCCTCTTCCTCCATCTCGGACTCAGAACTGCTGTGGGGAAACAACCATACAACCAAAGTGAGGGAATGACAAAAACTGAGGAGATGCTCAAAAGCCATAACCAGAGGCAAAATGTCCCATCAAAGCAACTGCTGGGCAGGAAAGGAGAGAGGGCATGCACAGAGGGGTGTGGTGTGCTTTTCTGCCCAGGTAAGACCCACAAAGGGAAGGAAAGAGAGTGAGTAGACGGCCAGAGGAAATACACATGTACAAGTAAGCCCTACATAAACCCACATGAGCAAACAGCTCAGCCTGGGCGGGGGCAGAGGGGGGGTTCTATTCAATGAACTGCAACTCCACCGAGTCCAGTTTCAGAGGCCCTCAGAGACAGTAGGAGGCACAGACTCATTTTGATATGAACTCAAGACCCTGGGAATCAAGAAAGGAGAGAAAGTCTCCTTTCATCGTGATCTGTCTGGTTTGAGGAACTCAACTCTACTTGACTCAGGTGGGTTGGCAGGCTCTCCTGGGAAACATGGTGAGAAAGAAAAGCTGCCTCCAAGAGGCCTGAATCTTAGCCACAGACGGGCCGGCAATCAAGGAGTGTGTGCTGGAGGGAAGGCAGCACATTCAATTCCACAGTGTTCTTTAGTCCCCACAACGTGCCCTGCCCAGAACAGGATACTATGGGGAATACACAGTTAACACGGCAGCAAAGGCGCTGTTCACCACAAGGTTATAGTACAGGGACTATGGGGAGAGGGTGAAAACAAATATCCCGATCACTGGGGTCATCACGCTGGACAACCAGCCACATTTTCTACCACCATTTCCTTTATGGCACATGGCCTAGCTCAGCTTGAAACAGGAAGCAGCACTACATGCGAGAAGACCCTTGCCGTGACCTGTGCAAGCCAAAACCGTGGATCTCCACCCTCGAGGCCACCACCTGGGAGCATTTCTATCCGCCTTTCCTGCCTGCAGAGTTAAGCAGTCGATAGGTGGTACACAAATAAAAGTGCCCTACAATATAGCTGTAAGGCAGGAAAAAAACCCCAAACATCATTATACAAATGAAGTTTCTCAGACCTGTTTCATGGTCTGATAATTCCCAAAAAGTCTTTTTCAGGAGAGGCTTTGCCCTCAGTGAGAAATGTGTCATTGACTGGGCTAGAGGAAATTTGGCTTTTCCAATCAAGCATGGTCCAGCCTCTGGCATGAGAGAGCCTCAAACCCCAGAAGCATCAGGCATGGGATGGATGTCCAGTCCCATCTTCCTGTGATGGTGGGGGGGGGGGTGCTCTCTCCCCACCCAGAGTGGGGCTGTGAATGTGGAGAGGGAATCAGTGAATACAGTGTGATAAGGTCAATGACACCTCACTACCAGTGCTATTATTAGTACCTGTGCAGTATAGAATTTACCTAACTCAAAGAGAGGTCTGGCCTTTGTCTTGGCTTCTGGGATGTAAACTCTAAGCCCTTGGAAGGTCTTGTCTGATGGGAATGTGTTTATTTCCGTAGGATCCTTAGGTCATGGTAAGTAGTCTAATAATGTGATTTAGGGTGAGGGCTGGCCACATCAGAAAGACCAACAATTTAGGGTGGGGGCATTGAGTCATGAAGTATTAGCTGGCCTGGAGACTGAGATCAATCACAACATGTTGCTAATCAGTTAATCTGTCAATTGATACCTAGGTAATGGAGCCCCAATAAAACCTCTGAACACCAAGGCTTGGGTGAGTAATACTATATGGGTTTTGTCACACGTTAATACCAAGAAAGTAACACTGTCCTGACTCCGTAGGGAGAGGACAATGGAAGCTCCACATCCGTATGTTCTTGGACTCTGCCCTGTGCACTTCCTTACTTGGCTGATTTCAGTAAGTATCCTTCCCTGTAATTAACCACAACCATGAGTATACACATTTTAGTGAGTTCTGTGTGTCTAACAAATTATTGAACTTGAGGGTGGTTTTGGGAACTCTCAGCCTTTAGTTGGGTCAGTCTGAGGGCAGCCCTGGGGGCTGTATGCCCGCCTACTTCTCAGGTGGCTGATTCTCAGTGTTACACTGGCTCTGCTGCTTACCAGCTGCATGACCATGAGCTGATTATTTATGCTGAGCCTCAGTCTCCGCATCAGTAAGGAGGCAATGTTCACATCTACCTTGTAGAAACGTTGTGAAGATTAGGGATTTTACTGATTTTTATAATGTTTGTGTTATACTCTGGGACTCTCGCTATTCACTTCTTTGTTTACCCATTTACATATTCATTCATTCATTCATTCATTCATTCAATGAACATTCTTGAGTACTTACTAAATCTCAACCAATGGATACAAAAATAAAAAGAGGCAGCTCCTTACTGTAAGCAGCTCATTTTGGTGAATACTACTTGATTCATTTATTCATCCATTCATCCATCCATCCACCCACCCACTAAAATTTACTGAGCGTCTTTTACTTACAATGCACTTCCTCCACATTGCAGAGAATACAAAGATCCTTATTCTCAAGGGAGATAAGATGCGAACACGGGATGATAAAATAAGGTAGGAAATAACTGTAGTGGAATGAAAGGTTGAGAGGAGGCAGTTTAAGGTGAGTAAACATAAGAATTTGGACCATGGAAAACTTGGCATCTGGATTTTGACTGTTTTTCAGTATTTATTTAGGTATTATTTTCATTTGTTTACTATCTTATTATTTAGCAACAATGTGTATCACTTAACATCTTTCAAACATGAAATAAGGATAAGAATGCCTCCTATGCTCATCTTAAATCTTATGTAAATTTATTCAAACTTCAGGTGGGCAGAAGGCAGGCCAGCTTGTCCTTCCTTCCCAGCCAGGCATACAAGGTAACTCCAGCAGTCGGCAGGCACAGTGGGACTACACTGCCACTGTTTGGGAGAGGTGCCTTCAGCACGGCCCATTCCTTGTACTGTGCCACGTCATGAGGGCAGTGGCACTGTGCATAATGTGAGCAATTAATACTCTATGATGAGGGCAATGGGACTCACAGCTATGAGTGTGATACTGGCTAGTTTTACGACAGCTCAAAGACCACGGGAGAATAGCAAGTGAGGCATGGAGCATAAAAGATAGGGTGGAAAGGTCAACCCTTGCCTTTCTTCATAAGCTATTAGCTCTCAGTCTCTTTCTGAAAGGCCTTGATACGTTGTTTCTGGAAATCTGAGACAGGCAAACCAGTCTCCCTCCCTCTGTGAAGGAGAGGGGTGGACAAGCATTGCCAACTATTCCTTTCCAAGCCATCACATCCATGGGAGCTTGGAGCAGTCCCCTGAATCTCACCAGGCTCCTTATGTCGTGCAAGATTCACAGCGTAAACTCAGTACTTCAAGACTCATTTTTACATTTTGTGGCTGTTCCCAGTGCCTGAATTTCTGGGTCTGGCCTTTGAAGAGGCTGGGGGAAGGGTACAGAGAAGGAATCTGTAGTGAGGCAGACCCCCTCACCCCTACTTGGACATCAGCCTAGAAACATCTTAAGTGGGAAGATCACTACGCCAGAACAAAAGACAACATAGGGAACAATTTCTCTATCCTTTTGGGAAGAGAGTGTGACCTCTCAGTTTATAGCCTCCTAGGAGATGAAGGCCACAAGAAAATATAGTCATCAAGATCAGCATTTGTAACAATATATTGTTTGATGTAGGTCCACCTCCCCTGGACTGCACTCTCTCTGAGAGCAGGAACAGGTCTGCTTGGCTCACTGAAGTGGTGCTTGTAGTGCCTAGCACAGCCAAGAAAGGCAAGGAAGGATGCACAACCAGAGAAAGCCAGGGTAGGTTGCTACCTAAATTTACAGGTGTCAGATGATACCTCTGATGCCCCTTGGTGAAGTCCATCAGTAGGAGCAGAGCCTTTGAGTTACAATGACACCTTGCAAAAATCCTCCCTGCTGCAATTTATATCTGATCAATGATCTCAAAGCACTTTACCTGAACTCCCTATCAGATGCCATCTTCTTACTGAGGCTATGGTGGGGCCTGATAGGAGGAAGTAAGACCAGCAGGCACATGGACTAGATTCTAAAAAAACAAGATTTGCTCCAGACTTCTATGAGCTGAACAGAGGTTCTGCTGTGCCAGAGAAAGGCCAACGGTGATCATCACAGTAGTGATGGTGAATACTTACTGAGCCCTGGTGAAGTGCCACGTGGCACAAGGCACTTCACATGAATTAGGTCACTCAGTTACACAATAACTCTAGGACTCCAGGATATATTAATATCGTCATTTTTACAAATGAGGCCACTGAAGCTTAAAACGGTTGGATCATTGGTGTGAGAGGTCAGGATTCCCTCCGGTGTCCGCACCTGTCATACCGTGCCCTCTTGGATTGTTCACCAAGAACCCAAGAATTCTTCAGCCACTAGCAGCTGTCAGGGTGGCAAACCCAGGAGCAAGATCATGACCAGTCTCCTGGCTGCCTGGGTCTAACTCCAGAAAGTGGATACTGGAAATCTGGGCAGGTCCTACTGTGAATGAAGCAGGCTGCTATGTCAAACAGCACATTAAGTTCTTAGATGGTTTAAGGGAAAATAGGGAATCATGGCTTTCATTTTTAAATGAATCCACTCATAATCAGAGAGTCCACTCCTAGATCCCACCCTCTCTGACAACTGTGTAAACATTATACTGCTAAGCAGACTGCTGGAGAAGATGTATGTTGTCCAGCAATCATTACATGATGAACATTTAATCCATGCTAAAAGCAGTATCCTGCTCAGCAATGGCTCACATTACTGCCTCCACTGGAGAAGGGATAAGGGAGAAGAGAGGGAACGGTCAGGAATTTCCACTTATGTTGGTGAGTCTTGAAGGAGGGGCTTTTCCTTGTTGTGTTACTCTGATGGAGAGCAAAGCCCCTTTGGGCTGGCCTGTCATCGACTTTTGGGGAGTCCTCTGTAACCTGGTTGTCCCATCTGGATGGAAAGGATACCTGTTTGCTCTAGTGCTAACTTGTTCTTTAGAGCCAGCAATGTGCAAACAGTTGAGGACTTCAGCAGATGGGTACTGCACAAGCCATCTTCATTGCCTGGGGCAAAGTTTTCCAGACAGGCAATCAGGGAAAAACAAAACTAAAACCATAAAGCCAGTTTTCTTTTGTCTTCAGGCACCTGTTCTGTTCCAGAGAAAAGTAAAAGTACTACTTCCAGGGTTTCCTTTGGAAGATGCTTCCCCTCCCCCTCCCCCAATCCAAGGAAGGATCAAGGAGCTAATTAGGTCTGGGCCAATAGTCTCTGTGCAAACTAAACCACAAAGCAGCTAAGACTCACCTAGGGGGTTTGTTAACAAACAGGTATTCCTGGTCTCCACCCCAAGCCCACTAAATCAGCTGCTCCAGGGGAGGGTCCAGGAATTACGTTTTTACCACATGTCCCAGGTGGCACTTATTATCAGGGAAATTTAGAGCAGCCATCCTTGGTCTTTAAAGTTTTTTTTTTTTTTTTTTTTAACGTCTATTTATTATTTTTGGGACAGAGAGAGACAGAGCATGAACGGGGGAGGGGCAGAGAGAGAGGGAGACACAGAATCGGAAACAGGCTCCAGGCTCTGAGCCATCAGCCCAGAGCCTGACGCGGGGCTCGAACTCCCGGACCGCGAGATCGTGACCTGGCTGAAGTCGGACGCTTAACCGACTGCGCCACCCAGGCGCCCCCATCCTTGGTCTTTAGACCACAGCATTACCTGGGAACTTTTTAGAAATGCAAATCTTGGGTTCTACCCCAAATGACTGAATAAAAAACAGCCCAGCAATCTTTGGCTTAACAAGCCCTCTGGGTGGTTCTGATGCCAGCAAAGTTTGATCAGCACCGCCCTAGGGCCAAGCCAAACCCAACTTGTGGCACTTAAACCAGCCGTTTAAGGAACCCAATACAAGAATCACTGGCCCTGCCCCTCCTCGTGAGGGATACCCTGTATTGTGCTTAGAGCTACAATGCACTAAGGTGGTGACAGTAGGGGTGGCAATGATTTAGTGCTCCCTGGGCACCATGAACTGTGTCAGTTGTTTTATTTGATTTCATCCTCATAACAAACCAATGAGGTGCAGTGTTCTTTGCAGATGAGAAAACCGAGGCACAGAGAGGCCAAGAAATGTGGCCATAACTACTACGTGGTAGAACAAGGCTTCAAGTACAGGTCTGTTTGACTCCGATGTCATGCTCTGAATTATGATACTGCAATGCTTCCCCAAGCAGACGATGAAGTTAAGAGTTCTTTAAACTTGTCAAAAGTGAGTTCCTGGATTGGACCAGTGAATTTCTTAAAACAGTCATTCCTCATCTTCAAGGAAGGTCTGAGGGCTGAGAATGAACCTAACTCTGCTTGGTGCTGTAGGGAAGATGGAGAAAATACATGATACACTGTCTGCATCTGATCACTGCCCTCAGGGAAATAAGACAAAATCTGTGGCTCCTCCCTCTGAGCAATTCGGTTTAAGAGACCGTTTTTTCACTCTGCAAAGAGCTAATGCCACTTGTTGCTGTCGAGTTTGAGACACAGGCACCATTTGGGGCACCTGGCTGGCTCAGTCGGAAGAGCATGTGACTCTTGGTCTCGAGGTCATGAGTTTGAGCCCCATGCTATGTGTAGAGATTGCTTAAGTAATAAATAAATAAACTTAAAAAAAAAAAAAGAGGCAGACACCATTTGATGCAGACTGATTTCATATTCTTCTATCCTGCCCTTCCTATTGCACCCTGCTACATGTGCCACGGTGTAGCTTTCCTGAAATGTCCTTGCTACATACTGCTGCCTCGTTCCCTGTTAGTTTACAAATCACAGTGGAGGAAAAATCACAATGGCAGAAAAGCTGGCTGACCACACTCACCCTGAGGCTAAGCTATTAGGTCTGCAGAGAGTGGGCTCTCCCTCATCGACACAGAGCAGGAACACATGCTCTGTGGATGTTCTGCGTAGAGATGTAGTTGTGTGTGTATGTGGTGTGTGTGTATGTGTGTATGTGGTGATGGCTTCTGAAATGCAGGTACCCAGGGGGAGGCTGCCCAACAATGCACAGAAATGCTGTCTCTGAGGCCAGCCCAAGAAGCAGTTGATCCAAAGTATGTGTGAGGTGGTGGAATGCAGCTGTAAGTAGCTCTGCCCAGCAGACACCCTAAGAACATTCCTGGAACTTAAAAAAAAAAAAAAAAAAAAAAAAAAAAAAAAAAAAAAGCACTGCTTTCTTTAACCGCACACATTCCCTTCCTTACTCATGGCAACAAAGAAGCATCCTGCTGGTGTCTCAATGATAAGGCAAAGCCTCCACTAGTCTGGGAGACAGAGTAAGGGCTCCCCAGAAGCCCTTCAGGACAGTCTGACCAACAGTGACTTTACTCCAGCTTTTATCTTATTCCCTTTCCATGTCCTTGATAATCTTCATGGAGCATTCTGAGTTCTGTACTGACCCTGGCAGACCTGGGCCATAGTGAAAACGAGGCCCTGGGGTTAAGACAGTGGACTCAGGCAGTTCTGTGGGGGCTGGAGGGCACATGTCCTCCTCAGGCATCATTCAGTTACACTTAATTAAAACATCGGGATGGCCAAGCACAAAATCACTGGAGGAAGTCTGGAGAGGTGATGTGGCTTCCCCAAGACTGCAGGGTGAACTGGTGTCCTCACAGAAGCCCCTAATTCCAACCCTGAAGCTTCTTCTACTGAACCACCTGCCCCTCAACAGCACACTGCTTTAGGTTTCTGTTGTTCCCATGTGGAAGTCCTTTCTCTTCCAGTAAATTTGCAAACAACACCTGAGGGCAGGACCTGGGACTATTATTTATTTTTTTTTCCTGTTACCTTTTCAATGAAAGACAAAGTGTTAAGGCCATGGTAGGTGTTCAAGAACTACCTGGGTTGCCTGGGTGGCGCAGTCGGTTAAGCGTCCGACTTCAGCCAGGTCACGATCTCGCGGTCCGTGAGTTCGAGCCCCGTGTCAGGCTCTGGGCCGATGGCTCGGAGCCTGGAGCCTGTTTCCGATTCTGTGTCTCCCTCTCTCTCTGCCCCTCCCCCGTTCATGCTCTGTCTCTCTCTGTCCCAAAAATAAATAAAAAAAATGTTGAGAAAAAAAATTAAAAAAAAAAAAGAACTACTTACTGAATTTCTGCATTAAGTCTGGTGGGTTGTGTTCTTACCAGCTAACAAGATGACGAGAGGGAACTGCATGGAAAGGGGGAGATCAGCAGGGAGAACAGGAAGAATCCTGGACTGGGATCCAGGAAACCTGAGTTTGAACCTTAGTCAATCCTTGATCCTAATATTAGTCCCCATGTGTTTCCTTAACCACAGAGTGGTAAGATAAACATTCTCGTCTACTTTGCAGGATTCCTGTGAGGATGACCAAGTGAGGTGATGGATACAGAAGTCCTTTGTAAATACTCCAGCGCCATGCAAAGTAGTAGTAAAGGCAACCACCATCGACATGCACTTACATTTGCCACATACTGTTTTAAACCCTTTATACTATTTAATCCTCACACCAATTCTGTGAGGAAAGTACTTGTATTGCCTTCATTTCACAGATGAGGGAACAGAGGCATAGGGAGGTTGCTTAACTTGCCTAGTGTCACACAGCTGGTAGGTGGCACCGATAGTCTGGCTCAGATCCCATGCCGAGGGCACGGTGCTGCCTCTCCCCACAAGCAGGACAGTATATTCATCTGGGGAAGAGGCTGCTAGGGCAAGCCATGGGCATGTTGCAGCACACGAGAAAGCGGGGCCGGAGCTCCCGGGCACAGGCTGACCTGCTGGCCACGTCCTCCTCTGCGCCTTTGTCCAGCACGCTGCTCAGGTTGTGCTCAGCCTGCGTCTCCTCGGGCACCTCCTCCAGCTCCTCTGCCTGTTTCACAGACAGGCGGTAGTTCTCCAGCTCAATCCTTTCAGGAGTACCCCTGAGTCTCTTAGCAATGCTAGGCTCTTCCAGGCCATTCACACTTGAACCTGCAAGACAAGCAAAGCAGCAAAGTTCTAGGACAAGTGAAGGGAAATGAATACATGCGGTGGGGGACAGAGAAAGTGCACGGAGGGAGGGGGCACTGACAAGGATATCTAAGCGACCAAGGGAGCCAACACTCATTTCAGTGAAAGGAGGGACAGGCCCTCCATGAAGGCCAGGGACCCAGACAAGGAACAGCCTGAAAGTCAGTAAGGTCACAGAGGCCAGGAAAGGACTGTGGGCTGGGAGTGGCAGCCCTTCCCTGAGCAGGAGAAACAAAAGTCAGCCCCTAAAGGGGGGGCGCAGGCTCAGTCTCCTCTGTCATCCCTGAACCCAAGCCCAGTGGAGGGAAGAGTGGTGGTGACTGTGGGGGAGGGGGTAAAAAGGACTTGGGCTAGATGCTAAGGAAGTGCTTTTCACTGATCCAGCCCCTCTAAAGTAGCTTTCATGGAGAAGGTGAGTCTTGCCAGCTGCCCCCCACCCTAATGATCCAGGACCCAGTCAAGGCTCATGCCCTGCATCTGGCCAACCTGCAGAGATGTCCAGGCCAGCTGCCTGCAGGACCTCTCACACTATGGAAGTGTCTGTCCTGTCACGGTTAGATTCATGGTAAACATTTCCTATTTAACAAGAACACATAGGTGATGCTGTGCCCCTTCTGCTGCACAGTTAGGAGGAATATTGTCAGGTTGCCTCATTCTTGGTGATACCAGCTTGACTGCTTGGGTGGTGCCCAACCATCTTTCTGCTGTAAAGAGAGGATTTCCCCCTTTGTAATTAATGAGTAATCCATGGGGTCATAATGTAGAAACCATGGGACTATCCTGTTCCACTATACTTTCATCCAGTGGTTTTTGTACCAATCCATTGATGAGTGGTGATTTAAAAATTTTTATCATTCCTTCTCCACTGTCATTCTTTGTAAAGAACTTTTCCCATTTCTCTGAGTACCACCATGACTCATGGATTTTGAAAAACTTAAATGTTGTATTTGACTACTATGTTTTCTTACTCTCCTTTAACCTAGAAGTTTCCCTGTTTCCCCCATTATTATTCTTTTTCATGTACCTTTTTATCTCAAATTTGGTCAGAAGAAGCCCACCATATTTATTCTTTAATGTCTTCACTGTAATGTGAAGCTTAGAGTCAGACAATGTCTGTAAGCTTAGAGTCAGACAAATCCAGGCTAGACACCTGACTCCATGAGTGACAAGCTGAAGGATCTCAGGAAAATTATGTAACTACTGAGAGTGCATTTTCTGATCTATAAATGAGGACAACCCTCAGCTCCTTTGATTATTATGAATGTGGAATGAAATTATATACATATATATACAAGTATGTGTACATATGCCAAACCTGTGTGCACTCCAAATCTATTGTCTTCCTCTTCTGCTTAAACCCAGCACATGGGCAGGATTCAGCAAATATGAGTTAAGTGATGTAACTGATGCCCAGTAACATTCTTAGCACCAGTTTGTGTTGTATCCATTTGCTCTGGATTATGAACAACAGTTACTTGACAAAGATGGGAAGGGAATTCTGGGCAGAGGGAACAGCAATAGCTAAGGTACACTGACATGCAATGGCAGCTTGGTATTACTAGACTTTCTGGTGGCAGTGTACTTGAAATGGTAGTGAAGAGAAAGAGACTGGGGTGAGAACAGAGCATGCACGGCCTTCGGTGCCATTCTAAGATCTAAGAGATAACACTGGGTTTTGGTAGGCAACATCATACCAACCCAGTGTTGAGTGACAGGTGGCTTATCAGGTGAAGGCCAGAACCTCTGTAATGAAGGACTAAAGTAAAGGGGTAGGAATATTGAATTAGTAATATCTGTGACATAACAGGTGTGCAGAAAATCTTCTGGAAGACTGGCACTTTTGTTGTGTACAATGTTCTTAACCTCTCTGTAATATCATTAGAAAGAACATTTTATGAATCCAGGTAGTCACAGAATAAAGTCTGAGTGCATCTATTGGATTATCAGGTTCTTCCACCAAATAGCATCTTTCAAATTTACTAGAGAATCTTTACTGAAAAGCAAAACCCAGGGCACGTTCATCTATAAATTCAGGTAAATGTCTAATGATGGAGTCAGAGCATGAATCCTTGGGCTCACTAGGGCCCTGTGCAACGCCCACCTGTCCTAGTCTTTGCAACTCCAGTTGGGGCATTTTATACATCCCTGGCCCATTGCCCAAAGTATAAGCTATAATGCTGGATCAAAGCATCTGGACGATTAGGAAATATGTGGGCTTCAGGTAATAGAAAAAAGAGACAGGGAGCACAGCAGGTGGATGCTGCCTCAGCATCCTTCAAACCAACCCCCCTATCCCTGGCCCCTGGAGTGCACAGGCTCCAACTGCACTGGTTCATCATTTCCAAACATCAGTCTTCCTGTCCTCTGTTTCTCCTTCCCTTCATCAAAACCCAACATGATAAACATGGGAAGGCTAAGGATCCCCTGACTATAATATCATCTGATTCTTTCCTTCTCATCATGTATTTTTGACAAATGTCCTTAAAACAGAACGCAGACAAGAAAGTGAAATACATGTGAAGCCACTACCCAAGTATAAAGTTTTGGGGAACTCCATAGATAGAGAATAAAAATCAGTATTTCTTTTAGCTAGGGAACAAAAAAATAGAATAAGAACTACCACTTCAGGGAAACAAACAACCAACACTCATCAATTCAGATCCAAGCAATTTCAAGGTAGAGTGAACAAACACACTCATGCAGAGAAACACTCAATACGTGATGTCTGTTTTTAGTGGGTAAAAACCATACTCTGTGCCAGAAATTCTACCAGAACCTTGAGCAACAAAGCAGACTAAAACACTCTCTACTCTTAAAGATCTGTGGGCTAGTCACAGAAGAGACAGTCCTGCCCAGGAATCATTTCAGTATGATGTGTCAAGTATCATGGCTTATGCATGCATGTGGTGCTATGTGCATACATAAAAGGGCAACTTTACCCAGAGAAGTCAAGAAGATGTTCTGGAGGAATATGGAGGTTGCCTAGCCAGCTTTAAAAAAAAATTCCCTAAGGGGCGCCTGGGTGGCTTAGTCGGTTAAGCGTCTGACTTCAGTTCAGATCATGATCTCGCAGTTTGTGAGTTAGAGCCCCGTGTTGGACTCTGTACTGACAGCTCAGAGCCTGGAGCCTGCTTCAGATTCTGTGTCTCCCTCTCTCTCTCTGCTCCTCCCCCACTCACACTCTGTCTCTCTCTCTCAAAAATAAGTAACATTAAAAAAAGAATTTTGTAAGGGAGGTAATAGCTGGAAATGAGGTATCTGAAATTCAATTCAGAGACATTAAGCAACCTGCCCAAGGTCACACAGCCAGTGAGCAGTGCAGCCAAGATTTGAATCCAAGGAGGACAGCATTACTTCAGAAGACTACCATGGCTGTCCCTAGGCCTATGATGTGAAGAAAAGAAAAGGAAGGAGTGTTTCCACAGAGTCCTATTCTGCTTTCCCCCTTGGGACTCTTCACCATTCTCTCCTCCCCACTACAGTTTTCAAGAGGAAGGGCACAGAACTTCATGAGAGCATCTTAGAGCACAGAATCTGGCATCTGGAAGGACATTCCATCCTCCTTGAAGAATTTCTATAAGCTCTGGAGTCCTCAAAATGCTATGGGGAATTAAAAAAAAAAAAAGAAATCAACAAAATTAGCATGGTTGGTTCTCTGTGCTAAAGCAAGGGGCTCTCTTCTAGATTAACCAGATGGGGATGATAAACTAAGATCTCAAAGGAAGTAACAGTGGAGGAGACCTGGGCAGTGGCTATAACACTGTGACAAACACAGAACTTCTCCCTCATCCCCTGGATCCTCCGTCTCTCAACAACAGAAGAGCTCGAGGGAGCAAAGACTGTAGGAGAGCAGATGTAAAAATAGCTGACAGATGCTGGTTTGGCAAGTCACTGTGTAACCAGTGGGGTCAGGCTGGCTGGCCCAGGCCCACCTGGCCTCTCCACTTCACATGCCTCAGTGCAAGAGCAACTATACCAGGGACTTTCCAGCTAAAAGTGGATGAGAGATTTGGAATAATTTCTAAGGCTGAGTCTTCACTAAGTCAGGGCAGGCAGATCTCGGGTCATTGGAGGCCAATTCCAGCTTCACACATACCAAAAGGAAACAGCTCCCAGAATCTGGGTCGCATCCTAAATAGGAAAAAGGCACTGGGCCTGACCTAACGGCTCTGTTTTGGAACAGTCACTGCCTGCATGAGCTCCATACATCATCCTGAAAGAAATATTTTTCCTAACAGGACAACCTGCTCTCAGCTGATGTGCCACAGCTGCCAAAAGCCTTTATTTGTGTCTGTCTGATTCCTGAAGGGACACGAGGGATGTACATGACACTCTCGAGGCGGGCCTTCCCAGTCCTCAGCAGGCAGCAGCGCCATTCCCCCTTTTCCTCCTGCAGTGGCAGCAATGCCCTATTACGAGGTGGAGCCAGATGTATAGGACACTGCAGGATTTTGGGCAACTGTGAAGGGTATCACCTAAGAGACTGGAGCAGCTGAGGGGATGCTCTCCTTCTGCCCATATTCACTTCTGGCCTGTTTCCCCATTCCTTTTCCTTTCCTATAAGCTTGGGAAAGCTTGAATGAAATCTGAAAGTCTAAAAAGGACTTAGGAAAGGCACAGTAAATTGAGATTGATAATTGATTTTCATCATATTCCCCATATTTAGAAGGAGAATGGATGCTATGGTTCATTCATTCAAGCATACACTCAACAAATATTTATTGAAAAGCTACTTCTAGCCAGGCACTGTGCTAGGTGTTCAGGCACACCAGCGGACAACACGGGCAAGATCTCTGCCCTTGGGGAGCCTGCACTCTGATGGACTATGGGTGTCACATATCTGTTAAGAGAAACCAATGACTCAAGGTGTCAAAAGGTTTCAACTGTGGTCATGTTCTAATAAAATGGCCCTGTGATTTGCAATGATTAGTATCATTTGAGGAAAAAAGTACTCTTGCCAT